GAGTCCAACGGGCTGCTCAAGGCCTGCGACGCGGCCTCCAAGGCGGGCGCCGCCGCCGCCATCAGCATCAACACGTCCGCCTCCAAGTTCCGTGAGTGCCCCTGCCCCGGGTGCGCCCCGCCGCCTGCCCTGCCCTGCGAGCCACAAGGCCCCGCAGACAAGCCTGCCCAGCTGCCACACCTCCCCCGCCCCGCCCCCGCCGGGCCTGGACTCGGCCTGCGTGGCCGGGTGCCGGCTTGGAGGCAGGCTGGAAACTGGAAGAGCGGGTTGGGTCGGGTCGGCCTTTCTGGAGGGAGCCCAGCGCGCCGGGGTAGTCCCTGTTTGGGTTTGGGCGGGTGCGCTGGTATAGTCCCTGTTTGGGCATGGAGTGGGGCATGCTGGGGTAATCCCCAGTTGAGTTTGGGGGGCTGGCCGGGGTAATCCCTTTTCGGTTTGGGAGGTGTGCTGGTATAGTCCCTGTTTGGGCGTGGAGGGGGTGTGCTGGGGTAGTCCCTGTTTGGGTTTGGGGGATGCGCCAGTCCCTGTTTGGGCATGGAGGGGGGTGCGCCAGTATAGCACCTGGTTGGGTGTGGAGAGGTGTGCTGATATAGGTGCAGGGGAGCGCGCCGGGGTAGTCCCCGGTTGGGCGTGGAGGGGGGTGTGCCAGTATAGCCCCTGGTTGGGTGTGGAGAGGTGTGCTGGTATAGGTGCCAGGGGGTGCACCGGGGTAGTCCCTGGTTGGGTGTGGAGGGGGGTGCGCTGGGGTAGTCCCCAGCTGGGCGTGGAGCTGCTTTTGGAGACCGCGCTTAAGAAACAGAAGTTAGTTTGTTAGGGGGGACGTGTCTTTGCCTGCTGCAAGTGGAAAACATGGGCTCCGGAAAGGGAAAGGAGTGTGTGCGACAGTCTGGTTAGAGTTGGGAAGGTGGCTTCGCATCCAATGGCGCATAATACCCTCGGAGGTTTGGGGGTGTATTGTGGTAGGCCCAGATGCATGCAAAGGAATGCAAGGAACTGCACACTTGGTCTGAGCCCAAAGGCTGAGATCAAGGAAAGGAAAGCAATGAGTCTGTTCTATAGTTCTTTTATCACATTATTGTTTTAACACAGAAACTAGTAGTAATAACTGCTAGCAGTAATTTAGTCCTTCTTAAAATTTAGCCACATATAAAATCTATGAAATAAATCAGTACCAACCCTATCTGAGTGGGAGGAAAACCTTTGTTTGGAGTGGCTCATCTTGTGGTCTAGTAGAGAGAAAAAGTTGATACTTTTAACATGTCATATACTTAATATTAAAGTGAAAGTCTGGTAAAGGTGCAGGATTAAAACAGGGGTGGGCAAAATACAGCCCTCAGGCTGCATCTGGCCCATGGCAGGTCCCTCAGACTCGCCTGGCCCAGGCACCATCTGGCTATGGCGCGTCTTGCCGTCCCCTGGGCATGCAGTGGGGCTGGGGTGGCTCCACAGTTGGACTGCCTTTTTAGGCAGCCCAGGTGGTGGTGGTGGCTCCTTCCGGCTGCTGCCAGCCCCAGCCCCAGCCCCATGGGTACCTGTGCTGTGCAGCCTTGAACCCTTGCGCCCTGCTCTTGCTCTGGGCTTGCCTGCCTGGGCTCAGCAGCAGCAGTGCAGGGGGGAAAGTGCCCCCCTGGTGCTGCTGGTGCTTCCTGGCATAGCCGTCTGGAGCCCAGCCCATGCCATGCTGGGCTGCCCTGTCTGCTGTGTTCTGCCACTGTGCTTGGCAGCCCAGAGGTGGTGGTGATGTGGAGTAGATGCAGGGCAACCTGGCTCAGGCTCTGGGTGGCTACACTAGGAAGCGCTGGGTCTGGTGAGGGCGCTCCCCCCACAGTATACAAGAGTAAGACTTCATTTTGAGCTATTATACAATCACATCTATATACACAACAAAACACGCACAAATCAGGACAAAAATATTTTTAAAAATAAAATTAAAATATGCTATTGTCAGTGTTTGATTTTTAGTATATAATGATTTGGCTTTTTTTCCAGTTCCAAGATGGCAAACCCCCTTCTCAAAAGGAGTACTTTGGGGGGGGACAAGAGAAGGGACATCCCATGTCAAAGGTCAGGGGTTAGAAGGTGGGACTTCTGGTCCCAAGACTGTGACCAGGGGGTGGGGCACCAGTTAAGGGGTGGGGCTAACCTTGCAACAGCTTGCCAAAACTTGTTAAGCAGCCCTCCAGCGAAAATAATTGCCCACCCTGAATTAAAATTAGGCTTGTTAATGCATTTCATATTATCCTTCTGATGCTTTGAAAATATGTGGAAGGAGTTCTGTGATACAATCTGAATGATAACTCCCCAAATAAATAACTGTAAGCCATTAGAAATTTATACTTGTCTAACCTAAATTATTAACGAATTGTCTACATTGCTGATTATGGCCTGCTTGTGGGGGAAAATGTAGATTCAAACTCCATTTTGCACACCCCATATGGTTGTAAACTGTATGCACTTTGGGTTTTGCCCTCCTTGCAGAGGACGTTCATTGAATTTGCTCAATTTAAGTCCTTGTGTAGTTCAGACAGCACACACAGGTGTCAGGAATACTGCTGTGTGTCAAGTTTAAACCAGTTTTTACATGCATTTCACTTGAATAGAAAAGGGGCTTGCATTTTACTTTTGCTAACTCCTTCTGAGTACAGAATAGGGAAATGGTGAAATAAATTCAACCGCAAAGCGGATCTGTAACTGCTGCATCATGCTAACACTTTCAGGGGTAAAAGTCACTGGAGAGCCTTTTAACTTTCTGTATTTCCTGTTTTAAAACACTAACATGGTAAATAGATATTTCATGAAAAACTGCATTTCTTAGAGGCAGAGTCCTTATATGGAGCATGATAGAGAGAAGAGGGTCTTAAAACGCTTGTGAAAAGAAAAAATATTTATTTATCGTAAGTAAATTAGACTATAGACTGTAGGAGAAGACTAGAGTACCTTTTTTTTAAAAAAAAAACAAAACTGATTGGCCAAAAATCTCGTGTCCCAGCTGTACCTGGGTAGTATACATTTGTATGATGGTACCTGTGAGGCAGTGCAAATCAAGGTGGAATTCTTTTAGCCATGCTCAATTATTGCCCAAAGTATGACTTGTTCCAGCTAACTGTTCCTGTATCTAGTAACACAGCCGACTGCTCAGTCATTAGGGTGTTGGCAAGAGCAGAAGGCTTTTTTGGAACTGATAGGAAAGCTGTTTAAGAACTTAAGCTTCCACATTGCTTTAGGCTTGCATTGGGTATCTTACTACATTTTCAGTAAGGTTTGTGTGTGCTGTATGGAGGGCAATGAAAATGGTTAGCTGTGGAGCCACCTCAGCCCTGCTATGTGCTCAGGGGGGGCAGGGTGTGCCATGGATGGAT